TTGTTGATGCAAAGAAAATGTATAACTTATGTGGAAACAAATAAATCCCCAGCTTTAAATGTTTTATATTATTGACCAAAGAACAATTTTGTCTTCTAAGTCTTGACGAAACATGTTAGTTAGTTATACTGTATTGTCCTTTGATCAGAACCAGAGCTGGAGGATTTTGCCTATTGTTTTATTTATTTTTTGCCAAATGTTGCATGTTTATAGTGGGAACTGGAGCACCCGGAGGAAACAACAACAACTTATTCTTGTATTTCCCTAAATCACAGCAGCATCATCTCAGAGACTTAACAAAACCATTGAAATCACCACAGATCAGAGAATCAACAGTTAACACACATAAAGAACATAGAACACATGTTGATAAATGTCATACATGTTGTAGAATGTCATACATGTGATAAATGTCATACATGTGATAAATGTCATACATGTAGAATGTTAAAGCGTCCTGGATCATCACAGTCCTTCTAGTCTGACACTAACTGTCCAACAGACTCCTGCATCAGAGGAAAACCCAGTGGGAAAAAAGGGACGTGTCATATCAAAACCTATACGCAGACACGTGGAGAACATGCAAACTCCACTCAGAAATGCCTTGTTCCGAACCCAGGACCTTCTTTCTCAGAGGCTAGAGTTCTCTCCACTCAGCCCCGTGTCACTCTGACTGTTCACACACGTTCAATTTACAATGTTTCACATTTACAGTTTATACATTCACCAAAGTACATCCGTGACAAGCTATAGTGCCCAATGAACCAACTCTGAGGAGCACAGGGACTGGACTCCTGCTGGGACTCTGAGGAGCACAGGGACCGGCCTCCTGCTGGTCCCAGAGTCAGAACTAAACATGGGGAGGCAGCTTTTCAGATTTATGCCTCTAAAATCTTTAACAGTCTTCCTGAAAATGTGAGACAGGCCTCTACTCTGACAATGCTCAAATCCAGGTTAAAAACAGACATTTTCCGCTGCAACAACTGAGGGATTTTATCTTGACTCTTTTTTAATGCGCTGTGATTATTCATGACTTTAATGCAGCCCTTTAAGTTTGCCCTGCCTATAAACTGCGCCATACAAATAACCACTTGATTCCTGAGTAAAAGTATTCTCCCATAATGCATCTGTGTGGCTTGTTTTGCGTCTCACCTTATCTGAGCGCGGCACCAGGAGTCCGCTGTGAAGCACTAATGAGCAGGTAAATCTGCTGCTTAAGTGTCGACTCCTGGAGAGATAGTTTTTCCCCTGAGTCTGGCGTCTTTCTCCAAAACCCAACTCCATTGATGAAGCAGTCACACTTTTGCAAAGATAATCCACTCATTTGAACCCAGCTGCAGGTCTTCGGGCTGAGCCTTCCAGTGCCAGGTCACACAGAACCAGCCAACGCCGGGACTTTACTCAAACTTTTGCTTAAGACGGGGATCGAACTCCGTGTGTGTGTCTCTGGGTGTGTGTCTCTGTGTGTGTGTCTCTGTGTGTGGAGAGTTTCATGAAATTATCAAATTCAGTTCAATGTATGTTTGCAGTGCGCCGAATCAGACGGAGGATTTTACAAAGTTGTCGATTCGCCAACAGCAGATCAGAGAATCAGTTCGAACATAAGAAAAGCATTGGTAACAAACATAGGAATGGGTGTGTGTGTGTGTATGTGTGTGTGTGGGATTGTTTTAACCAAACTCTAAGGCACTTTTTTTTTAAATTGTATTAAAAGCCCTTTATAAAAAACTTACCCTTTATTCTTGATTTTTTATGGATTGCATTATTTTTTGCGTTACTACTTTTTTTAAACACACAGACCCGGACACAGTTATTCATTCATTCATATTCTACCCGTTTATTAATCAGTTTCTGGGTCAGGGGGGTTGGCAATGAGAGCTGCACCCAGCGCTCATAGCCCCAGTCCCTCTGATCCTCTGCAGGGGGTGGGTCCACAGGAAGACGGCTGCTCCTTCGTCAGCGGTGACACACAGCCGTGGTCTTTCAGCGGGGACTCAAACGGTCTTGCCCAATGACACAACAACAGCAGACATGAGTGGGAGCAGTTGGAGTAGGTCTCGTGAGGGAATCTAACCCACGACCTTCGGGATCAAAGGCCAATGCTCTTCCAACTGAGCCACTGTCACTGTCGCCCCACACAGTTATTAAATGCATATAATGTTGCACGGTGGCTGAGTGGTTCTCGCTTCTTGATAAGAAGGGTCTGGGTTCTAATCCCGGTCGGAACAGGGCCTTTCTGAGTGGAGTTTGCATGTTCTCCCCGTGTCTGGTCTGTGAGAGGCGCTGTATACATAAACATTACTTACTTATTTGACAACATGACTTCATTCACTTTGACTAAATGTTTAAACCGCACCAGCATCAGCCAACACGCATACACAGAATTGAAATTATTTTTAGCCCACACCGTGTGACAGCCTCTTGTGTGGCAGAGCGTCTCTCCGCAGACCGTGCCCGGGTCAGATGGCGTTCGCTCGCGGCTGAACGGAGCCCACCGTGGACCAGGTGCCGTTCACCATTTGGCGGCTCCTCACTATTGTGCCGCCTTTTGATACACTACATTAATTGTGAGTTTTTTTAAAGCCATTATTGCAGCCGCGGGGCCAACGCAGGGGTTTCTCACATGACTGAAATATCCACAGGACAGAAATAAGTAAATAACATTGGTGATCGTATGAATCTGAATCTTTTTAAGAATTTCACAAGCCGACGTGTGTTTATATATTCTACCACTACTAAAAAATACATACAGTTGGTTTGTATCTATAAGTTTTCTTTTTCTTCTTTTTTTTAATAATTATTAGACAGTCCAAGAATGCTCTTTTTACATAACCCAAGGACAAGTGCTAACTATGCAGTACTATGACATAACTGTGGTTTTCTTGAAAAACTTTACAAAACCGACGATTTGCCAACACAGATTAGAGAATCAAACAGTTCTAACACATGAAATGCAATGATAGAAAACTGTCGGTTCGGGGCAGAGACGGTTCATAAATGTTTATAAAGTCCATTACAGTGCTCGCTCTTTTTACAAATTAAAAATCCAGACTTTTTAAAAACTGATGTTATTTTTCCCAAGACCTTAACTTTATGTACTTGTATACTTGTGTGCCTACTGCCTTCGAAAACACAAAACAACCCATTTCTGTTGACCACTAGGCTACGTGTCAACAGACCTCAGCAGTGACATCACAAACATGTGCCAGACCAGACCAGACCAGACCAGGCTAAGCTACTGTAGTTAGAGCCTACTGTACCTTCCTGTTTCTCATCTCACAATGCCTTTGAGCACACTGTAAAATTCTACCAAACATTTTTTCCCCCATACTTTATAAAGACATTCACACCCAATTTAAAACTTTTCAAGATCTGGAAATCAGTGTTTCAAAATTCCATATTATTAAGACTTTCAAGCACCCTGTTACTGTGAGACAAATGTGATGTCACACTGGGATCAGACCAATCCTAATTATGATACCAGCTTTTTCACTCTTACTTCGGTGGTTGGAAATGACAAAACATGTATTATAAGGGGATGCATACATATGTTAATGTCCTGTATATATTTATATTCATGAAATACTTGCAATTACAAATCTTTTTCCACATTCTGCGTTGAATTGAAAAGGCCTTCCAGCAGAACCAGGCTGCCCTAAGACCCTCCTGCATCGGCATCAAAAATCAATTCTTGTTTTTTTTTTTTTTTTTTTTATTATCATTTTTTGCAGTATATACCATGTTCAAAAAGCCTTTAGTCCACAAAACTAAAAATGCATCCTAATTTTTCCACTTTTTTCTTAATGAGAAATGATGAAGGCCTCAAACTGTGATTTTGACTGGAGCTTTATCCCAGAATGCATGGGGACAAGAAAACGAATCAATAAATAGGTCTTTCTGAATATTGCAAATCTTACACTTTAAACAACAATTGCATAAAATTGTCTTGAGTGAAATTATGGGACAAGCTTCTTCCCTGACGATGAGAGAATCCAGGTTTATGTATGATGTGTTTTCGTAAAGCACTTTGAGTTTCCCACTGTATGAATTGTGCCTTGCTTCCTGCGGAGTTTTGAATTACATTGAAACTCATCAACAATAATTGGTATGGCCCCTTTTTTATCTCATACGTGTCCCTGATCCACCAAACCTATTCTCTCTCTTGCTCTAAATATGCTCTTCCTTATTAAAGCAAAACGTGGATCTTGGCCTGTTGCTGCGTCTCAACACTGTTAACAATGATAATGTGAAGTACATGTTTGAATAGAGTGTTTTTTAATCTTAATTTGAGTACATTCTGATTGTGTTAAAACATGATTCTTATTTTGAGAACACCGGACCTACTGCCTCTAATAATCTTGTCGTTCCACTGAGAAAAATATCCTTTGGCCAATCAGCTTTCTCAGTGCGCGCCGTTCAGTCTGGAACACGATCCCAGTCCATGTAAGACAGAGCACCACACTCAAGACTTTTAAACATACGTTAAAAACCTGGTTATTGGACAATCAAGACAATGTCAAGATGTATTACTTGCTTTAATATGTTTTGATGACGTGCTAATACTGACATATTTACAGAAATGTCGATTCATGTGTATTGTCCCTATTCAAATAAACTAATATGTTTAAAAAGGTAAAAAATAAACAGTTTTTTTCATTCCAACGGAGACATTTCTTGTATCTTTACAAAACAAGATCATTTTGCTTTGTCCCGTTGGTGAATCTTGTTTTAAGGCACAGTCAAAATTAAGCTCAAAATGTGCTCAAATTAAGATACATTTTGCCAAATTTGAGACATTCTTGACTTATTTCTCATCCCTTTTTGCTGTACATATTCATCCTTTAGTCTCTCGCTCTTGACAATACCTCACGTTATAAATGGACGTATATTCTAAATGTGTGCGCAGCTTCTTAATAACCTTTGTCCCTCGCCCCTGTGTCTGCTCCACACCACAACACGAGAGTCCAGCTGCTGTGTTCTTGCGGCCGGATGGAGAGCGGATGGTCTGCAGCCGGAGAAGCTCCAGCACGGTCCACCTTTCACCCCTCATCTGCTCCGGGGGCCCGGGAGAGGCCCCTGTGAGCTGGGACCACTCTGCCAGTCTGTGAGAGCCAAGACCACGGCTCTAAACTAAACTGGTGAATGTCTCCATCTTGTGGTCGAGGTTCAGATTTTTCTTGATCGTGAGAAAATAGTCTGAGATGATTGTATTTACCACTGAAAGCAAATGTAAATGTGTGTTCACTGCAAAAAGGGATGAAAAACACGTCAACAATTGCTCAAATTTGTCAGAATATATCTTAACTTGAGCACATTCTGAATGAGCCTAAGATGATTTTCCAATGGGACAAAGCAAAAATATCTGATGTCTCTTTTGGATAAGAAAAGAAAAGAGTTCCTTTATTCGTCCCACGGTGGGGAAATGTCGATGTTGCAGCGCACAGACAGGACAGTAGTAAGAGCACACAGGGAACACACACAATATACTACAAAAATAAGTAGTAGCTGTGTTACTTAACTATCTGTAAATGCTGTAAATACTTCGATACCAGTCTTTCAAGATAAAATATACACACTTAGTAGTGCAGAGTTATGTACTGTACATTTAGTGCAGGATAATAAGTAGATAAGTAAAGTGACATGAGGTAAAGTGACATTGTTCTGTGATATTCTGAAGGAGCAGTATTGCACACTGCACATGATTTAGTATTTACGTATTTACAGATGAATGAAATTTACAGGCTCAGCAGTTCTTATTGTAGAGTCTGACAGCAGCAGGAAGGAAAGACCTACGGAACCTCTCCTTCACACAGCGAGGGTGAATTAGTCTGTCACTGAAGCTGCTCTCCAGAGCAGAGAGAGTGTCCTGCAGGGGGCGACAGTCATGGTCCAGCATAGATGTTAGTTTGCTCAGGACCCTCCTGTCCCCCACCTGCTGCACTGTGTCCAGGGAACAGCCCAGGACTGAGCTGGACTTCCTGATGTTCCAGCTTCTTCCCTCTCTGTGATGCTGCTGTTCCAGCAGACCACACCGTACAAGAGGCTGATGCCACCACAGAGTCATAGAAGGTCTTCAGGAGTGGCCCCTGCACTCCAAAAGACCTGAGCCTCCTCAGCAGGTAGAGCCGGCTCTGGCCCTTCTTGAAGAGGGCGTCTGTGTTATGAGTCCAGTCCAGTTTGTGGTTCAGATGAACACCCAGGTACTTGTAAGAGTCCACTCTCTCGATGTCCTTTCCCTGGATGTTCACTGGAGCTGGAGCAGCAGAGTGACGTCTGCGGAAATCCACCACCATCTCCTTGGTCTTCCTCACGGTCTCTCCTTGGTCTTCCTCACGTTGATGAGGAGGTGGTTCATCTCCTTGGTCTTCCTCACGTTGATGAGGAGGTGGTTCATCTCCTTGGTCTTCCTCACGTTGATGAGAAGGTGGTTCCGCTGACACCAGTCCACAAAGTCCTGTATAACTTCTCTGTCCTCTGTGTCATCGTCCTGGGAGCTGAGTCCGATGATGGCAGAGTCGTCAGAGAACTTCTGGAGGACACAACCGTCCGTGTTGTGTCTGAAGTCCGCAGTGTAGAGGGTAAAGGGGAACGGCGCGAGGACTGTCCCCTGGGGGGCCCCCCACACTGCAGGTCAGGACCTCAGACACAATGGAATGAGAAAATAAATAAAACATCTTCAAATGAGACTAAATATCTTTGTCCTATTGGAGAATCTTGTTTGAACACAGTCAGAATGTGTCAGATTAGGAGACGTTTTGCCAAATCTGAACAATATTTTGCTTATTTTTCATCAATCTTTGCAGCCGTAACTCTAACCCATGATCTTTATTTCAGTTAAAGCATGAGTTGCTGGTATTCTTTATCAAAAAAAATTTCCAAAATGTACCTTAATTTGAGCACATTCTGACTGAGCCTTAAACAAAACATGCCAACGGGACACAGCAAAATGATCTTGTTTTAAACAGATACAGAAATGTCTCTCTTTGAATGACCCATTGGAGAATCGTGTTTGAAGGTTTGAATATTCTCAAATTAGAATCAAAAACACTTTATTCAAGCAAATATCACCACATATTTGATCATTTTCTGCAGTGTATGGTAATTTCACAATGATTTTATGACTTCATTTTAGTCCACAATCATGGAACTTATTATTGAATGTACTTTAATACTTATGACTGAATATCTGATCAGGTAAAGGTGAGTTACAGCTGGTATTACCCGTGTGCCCGGACCATGCGGCGTGAGGGGTGCAGAGCTCGCCGTGTGTGGGGGACAGAGCTCGCCGTGTGTGGGGGACAGAGCTCGCCGTGTGTGGGGGACAGAGCTCGCCGTGTGTGGGGGGCAGAGCTCGCAGACGGCCCAGGTCACCGAGGCGACAGGGTGACTTTATCTTGAATGTCACTTTGTGTTTGCTTGGTTAGACAATGCCTCTGTTGGATTGGCTTCTCGGATGAAGGCACAGGTGAGAGCCACAGAGGAGCGGCCCTCCATCCCACTCTCCGCTGAAACAGACCCACATTTTAATATGCAACATCTGTGCCGGGAGAGCCTTCCAAAATGGCTGCCCCTTGGAGGATGACGGTAGAGTCTGTTCAAACTTGGGATGGGGCACTGAGTACGGCACGGTTCGGCACAGATGTTGGCACACACAATGTCACTTTGTCCTCTGCAGGTATCCAGGGAGGGCTATTTTAAGGGAGGGGAGAGAGCTTTCTTCCAGAGTTCCCCGAGATCTCTTTATCGGCCGTGTTCAATGAGACTCGTCTGCAGCCGGCGACAAGAGGAGCCAGGACCTGTGCCTCATGTTCACGACAAATAATACTGTTTCTTTTTATTGAAAACAGGAAAAAGTGTGACGTGGAGATTGATCAGTGAAGGTTTGAGGAAAGACACAGATCGCAGACAGTGAGCAGCTGAGCAGAGGTCAGAGAAGACTCAACACATGCCTGAGACTTCTACTGCAAACATCAACACATTTTCAAAATCAAATATTAGCAACAACAACTTATTCTTGTATTTCCCTAAATCACAACAGCATCATCTCAGAGACTTCACAAAACCATTGAAATCACCACAGATCAGAGAATCAACAGTTAACACACATAAAGAATATAGAACACATGTGATAAATGTCATACATGTGATAAATGTCATACATGTGATAAATGTCATACATGTTGTAGAATGTTAAAGTGTCCTGGATCATCACAGTCCTAGTCTGACACTAACTGCCCAACAGACCCTCCTGCATCAGAGGAACCACTCATGAGAAAACCCAGTGGGAAAAAAGTGAGTAACCTCGAGGAAACCCATGGTTTGAGAAAGGAATCCGCTCCCACGGACAGACAGGCTATAGATCCAGGAGTCAGACTGTAGAACGAGGACTGAGGCTATAGATCCAGGAGTCAGACTGTAGAACGAGGACTGAGGCTGTAGATCCAGGAGTCAGACTGTAGAACGAGGACTGAGGCTATAGATCCAGGAGTCAGACTGTAGAACGAGGACTGAGGCTGTAGATCCAGGAGTCAGACTGTAGAACGAGGACTGAGGCTGTAGATCCAGGAGTCAGACTGTAGAACGAGGACTGAGGCTGTAGATCCAGGACTCAGACTGTAGAACGAGGACTGAGGCTGTAGATCCAGGAGTCAGACTGTAGAACGAGGACTGAGGCTGTAGATCCAGGAGTCAGACTGTAGAACGAGGACTGAGGCTGTAGATCCAGGAGTCAGACTGTAGAACGAGGACTGAGGCTATAGATCCAGGAGTCAGACTGTAGAACGAGGACTGAGACTGTAGATCCAGGAGTCAGACTGTAGAACGAGGACTGAGGCTGTAGATCCAGGAGTCAGACTGTAGAACGAGGACTGAGGCTGTAGATCCAGGAGTCAGACTGTAGAACGAGGACCGAGGCCATAGATCCAGGAGTCAGACTGTAGAACGAGGACTGAGGCTGTAGATCCAGGAGTCAGACTGTAGAACGAGGACTGAGGCTATAGATCCAGGAGTCAGACTGTAGAACGAGGACTGAGGCTGTAGATCCAGGAGTCAGACTGTAGAACGAGGACTGAGGCTGTAGATCCAGGAGTCAGACTGTAGAACGAGGACTGAGGCTGTAGATCCAGGACTCAGACTGTAGAACGAGGACTGAGGCTGTAGATCCAGGAGTCAGACTGTAGAACGAGGACTGAGGCTGTAGCTCCAGGACTCAGACTGTAGAACGAGGACTGAGGCTGTAGATCCATGAGTCAGACTGTAGAACGAGGACTGAGGCTGTAGATCCAGGAGTCAGACTGTAGAACGAGGACTGAGGCTGTAGATCCAGGACTCAGACTGTAGAACGAGGACTGAGGCTGTAGATCCAGGACTCAGACTGTAGAACGAGGACTGAGGCTGTAGATCCAGGACTCAGACTGTAGAACGAGGACTGAGGCTGTAGATCCAGGAGTCAGACTGTAGAACGAGGACTGAGGCTGTAGATCCAGGAGTCAGACTGTAGAACGAGGACTGAGGCTGTAGATCCAGGAGTCAGACTGTAGAACGAGGACTGAGGCTATAGATCCAGGAGTCAGACTGTAGAACGAGGACTGAGGCTGTAGATCCAGGAGTCAGACTGTAGAACGAGGACTGAGGCTGTAGATCCAGGAGTCAGACTGTAGAACGAGGGACTGAGGCTGTAGATCCAGGAGTCAGACTGTAGAACGAGGACTGAGGCTATAGATCCAGGAGTCAGACTGTAGAACGAGGACTGAGGCTGTAGATCCAGGAGTCAGACTGTAGAACGAGGACTGAGGCTATAGATCCAGGAGTCAGACTGTAGAACGAGGACTGAGGCTGTAGATCCAGGAGTCAGACTGTAGAACGAGGACTGAGGCTGTAGATCCAGGAGTCAGACTGTAGAACGAGGACTGAGGCTGTAGATCCAGGACTCAGACTGTAGAACGAGGACTGAGGCTGTAGATCCAGGAGTCAGACTGTAGAACGAGGACTGAGGCTGTAGCTCCAGGACTCAGACTGTAGAACGAGGACTGAGGCTGTAGATCCATGAGTCAGACTGTAGAACGAGGACTGAGGCTGTAGATCCAGGAGTCAGACTGTAGAACGAGGACTGAGGCTGTAGATCCAGGACTCAGACTGTAGAACGAGGACTGAGGCTGTAGATCCAGGACTCAGACTGTAGAACGAGGACTGAGGCTATAGATCCAGGAGTCAGACTGTAGAACGAGGACTGAGGCTGTAGATCCAGGAGTCAGACTGTAGAACGAGGACTGAGGCTGTAGATCCAGGACTCAGACTGTAGAACGAGGACTGAGGCTGTAGATCCAGGACTCAGACTGTAGAACGAGGACTGAGGCTATAGATCCAGGAGTCAGACTGTAGAACGAGGACTGAGGCTGTAGATCCAGGAGTCAGACTGTAGAACGAGGACTGAGGCTGTAGATCCAGGAGTCAGACTGTAGAACGAGGACTGAGGCTGTAGATCCGGGAGTCAGACTGTAGAACGAGGACTGAGGCTGTAGATCCAGGAGTCAGACTGTAGAACAAGGACTGAGGCTATAGATCCAGGACCTAAGCTACAGAACGTGGACCAGTGGCCGCAGAGCGTGGACAGGTCCGGTGCAGGACTGAAGCGCTCCCAGGCGGGTCGGGCGGGGCAGTCCGCAGGTGTAGATGGATCGGGCCGGTTCAGAGGTCCCGAGGTGCAGGACTTAAGAAATGTAAGTTATTGATTCATCTGAAATGAATAGTGAGATGTCTGTCGCAGAAAAAACATATTCTAACAGTTTTCCTTCATCATAATATTCCCCATAGAGCCTGTAGTTTAACAGATTGGCACGTGAAAAAGACGTCCTGGTAACTATGGTTACTGTCAGAAGTCTAAGTAAGTAATAATTATTTATATCGCACATTTTTACAGACCAAGGTCACCCAAAGCACTTTATCAAATCATGATCCACCGACCGGGAGTCCACCTCTGCTGCTGTGACGGAAAGTGCTGTTGCATTTTGATAATACTGTTAGCTGCTTTTAGAATGATCTATTTATTTGTTTTGTTTGTTTGGATGGATGTGATTCTGCTGCTACTGGACACCTGCATTTTTCCTACGGGGGATCAATAAAGTATCTGTCTATCTGTCTATCTATCTATCTATGAACTGTATGCGTCTGTCTGCATGTCTGTCTGTCTATCTATGTGTCTATCTGTCTGACTATCTATCTGTCTATTTATCCAATACTATTCTGGGAAAAAATTAAACTTTTCAAAGGCCCTCCATGTAGAGCCTGAGCACAGCTGGATGCACTTATTTGGTCTTGTTCAGAAGAAGTGGGAGACTCGGACTTGAAAGATGTTGTTTTCATGAACATTTCTCTTTGGAAATGAAGAACTGCTTTATTTTGCAGTTTTCAGAGTGAAAGCTGTGCCTTACTGTTTCTATGGTATATATTTACTGACACATGTAGCACGGAGGTTACATATACTGGCGTGAGTCTTCTGGAGCGGGGAAGATGGTGGAGACTAGAGCAAACATCTCTGCACCACTTTCTAAAGTTTAGACGCCACAACATCCTCTGAGCGTCTGAAGGTGCTGCAGGACAGAGCCTCCTCTGTGGTGCTCCACTAAAGTCTCTGCTGCTAGGTCCTTGTTTTGGGAGGTTTGGGAAAGTACAGGTGCCTGTGGCCTGCTTCTCAAGGAGACACCCCGACGGCCAAGGAGACTTGAGAAAAATCGAGTTCCACCAAAATAAACCTGCCTTCCAAGATGCATGTGCTCCGAGCCTAAATTGGCCTATTTAAAGCCATATCCATAGACAGCCTTTGAATAATATTGACTTGCAAAGTACGCTGAGGTCAAGGACAGGAGGCGAGAACATTCTCCGTGGCACAAGAGTGATGGTAAACTACATCCATTTAGGAGCAGTAGGAACCAGTACACAGCTATTCCTGAGTTTGTCTCCTGTGCTCTTAAACAACAGCATAACCTCCCGACGTCTGCAGGGAGCTCATTCATTTCACCGAGTTCAGGCTGTTTTAGAGGCAAATGAGAGACCTCTGCTGCAGCATATTTCTGAATCATAAATCCATTACTTCCTTTGTGTAGTCACGGTCTATTTTGGTAAAGCTCTCTGTGATCAAAAGAATTACGGCTAAAAAGGAGGATAAAAATATTTGAGCGAGCCAGCCGTGTTATAACACTACAGAGGCGGCTGCTTTTTCAATTCTCATCGGTGCGTGAGGCTTTTGTGAGACATGGCACTTATGGTTTGTCACAGGATCACCATAGACCGTCGATGGTGTCACTGAGACCAAGACACGTTCTCCATATTCTGCATTCTGTAGTGAAAACTCTCCGATACATGTTGGGTTTTGGCACAGGTGAGATCCAT